GGCGGGCAGGAAGAGCGGTCGTCGATGCCTGTGCAGGTTGTGCGGGCGTTCGATTTGTGGGGGCGCTAAAGCCGCCAGGGAGCACTTCTCGAAGAGCGAGAAGTTTCGATGTGAGGCAGCCACTCCTGCTGTGTGGAATGCGATCTGGTCGAAGGACATGACAAAATGTCCAAAGGAGTTCGTGTCGGCCATAGAAACGTTGCAGAGCCACTTGCCAGGTCATCCGAGCTCGCAGTGGCCAATTCTTCGATTCCCCGAGGACGCAGTGCCGCCGCTGGTTCCTCCCACTGCCCCTTCTAGAGCCGTCGCATCGCCCAATTCTGGGGCTCCGGCCATTCGAGTCACGGTACCACGTCCTGCAACAACAATTGCAACACGACCGGCAGCCCCGCCGTCTGCGCTGGCTGGGACACGAGGTGCTCGCGATGTGGGAGTTGGTCGTTCCACGCCAGCCAACGAGCCCCCGCCTCTGAGGGATGGTGTGGGCTCTGCTGCATTTGACGAGGAGAGCACAAGTGCATTTATTGAGTGCTAGGCAGTCAGATGCCGCACGGGGTGGTGCTGCGGTGGCACCTGGCGCATCATCCCGCAGTTCGTCGGATTACCCCTGGCTGCCACCGCCACCGTTGAGAGAGGCGCAGCGTCCAATGGTCCACTACGCTCACGGAACCGCCCACCCGGATCCGTCACACGCACCTGCAGATGCTCGACATTCTGCTTCCGTGCCTCGTTTTGGGGAACAGGTGGATCATGGTGTGCCTGCCGAGGAGGTCCCCGGTCCGGTGTCCGATTCATCGCCGACCCTTGTTCCGACAACCACGGGCGGTGGTCGGTCTGCCCCACAGCCTCCATCCGTGTTGACCGGAATGTTAGACCCTTTGCAACGCATTCGTGAGCCCTGGCGGGTTGTTGGATGCTGGGGTCCTCGGCGGGAGAGCTACGACGGGACGATGTCGGGGCACTTACAGGCAGCAAGCCGTCACGTCATATTATTCGGACCCTGTGGAGCGCGCATGGCATCTGCAAATCATGCGGTTCATCGTCGAGAGCGGGATGCTGTTCAACAACACGAAGCTTGAAAGCTTCAAACGCATGTTCACGATGATAATCCCCCCGGGGGTTCCAGGGGCGCCCGCGCCTAGACTTCCCTCGTACCACATGCTGCGCACGACCCTTTTGGACGAGTTGGATGGTGAGGTCCAGAAGTGTGTTCGGCCGGTGCTTGACACGTCGAGAGAGACCGGTTGCACAATCATGACCCATGGTTGGACCAACATCCGTGGTCAGACGTTGTGCAACTACCTTGTTGGTACAGAGATCGGGGTGGTGTATGTGTCCACCGACGTCATGCGTGGCAAAAAGGACGCCAGTGCCCTCGCGAACGCATGGTTGAAAAGGGTGAAGTCCATGGACGTTCAATTGAGCGACATCACGACGTTTGTGACGGACTCCGCCGGGGTGAGCGTCGCGGCGATGGAGGTATTCCAAAAAGATGAGAGCGTGAAACACATCTTCTGAATTCCTTGCGTCGCCCACATCATGGATCTCATTCTCGAGGTCATCGGCGGGATTGATTGGGTGGATTCCCGCATTTCTCAAGCGAGGCTGGTTACAAGGTTCTTCAAGCGCCATGTACATGCGAGAGAGGTTCTTGAGGCACACTCGATGAAGACTCTTCTGCTACCGGCGGAGACGCGTTTCGACACGAACGTCGTCATGATGGAGAGGCAGGTGGCACTGCGGGCCACGTTGACAGATGTTGTGGCCGACGATCGCTGGCGCGAGACTGTTTGGTCGACCAGCAAGATCCGCAAGATGCAGCGGAGGTCACTGCATGTATCGGCTCCCCTCCATGGTGGGAGGATCAGAGAGCTCTGTGCAAGATGCTAGAGCCCATCATGGGCATGCTGAAGTTGGTGGACAGCGACACACGCCAGATCAGCAAGATTCTGAGACGTTACGAGGAAATGATTKCATCTTGTTTATCCGCATGTCGTGACATTGATCGGGAGCAGCAGGACGCTATTGTGGAGGTGTTCCACAGGCGGCGCACCATGTTCAAGACCCCCGCCCACACGGCAGCCATGCTGCTAGATCCAGAGTTCCGGGACGCGACGCTTTGTGACGATGTGG